GGGTTTGGTGATCGGTCATGGGAGTGGACGTTCCTGTGATGGTGATCATCATTGTGGCGGATCGGTTGTCGTAGGGGTGTTTCATGAACCTTTCGTATTTTCTAAATTTTTTTTTATGGAACAAGGCAAATCGATGTTCGCATCTATTAAAGCGAACATCTAATTGTGTTGATTGATATTGATGATGTTTACAACTTGCTGTCGCTTCCATTTTATTCCGCTTTCATTTGCATTCATGAATGTTATGGTAAGGGGGATGGACAATCAATCAATCAATCAAATTTTCTTTCTTTATTTTGTTTTTTTTTCCTGTTTCGATTATTTTTATTTAAAAAAAATATATATATATATGAAAAAATAAAATAAAAAATATGGGGGTGTAGAGCTCGAAAAGCTCTACATCCCCATTTTTTTTTCCATTTTTTTTGGGGGGGGGGTTTCATCAGTCTGTACGGGACCATTCATACGACCGTATGACCGTACTACCAGAGCTCTGTACGACGTACGGCGTGTTTCACAGGTACCAACCACGACAGTGGCTACTATAGTCCCATCGTCAGGGCAGGCCCTTGTTAGCGTGCAGCAACCTGTCTCAGTGGCTATGTAGCCTTTGCAACAATCTACTGGGCCGATCCAACCCATGCAATGGATGCCAAAGATCCCCTTGTTGAGTCCTAAGCCCTTCTCTGGCGACAAGAAGAAGGATGGCATGGATACCTGGGTGAGAACTGTGCCCACTTATGTGAGGCACAAGCTCACCAGGACAGAGCTGGAAGTTATAGTTGCTGCTTCCTTTTTAGAAGGATCGACAACATGGTTAAACGGGTTAGTACAACAATAGGGCTATGGTCAGAACTTCGATGCCTGGGCTCAGGCTCAGACACGTACGGACTGTGTACAATAGGTGACATGACCCTCAAGGGGCTCAAAAAGCCAATGACACGATAAACAATCTCTGTGCCAAAAGGTACAGGAATGTTCGCGAGGTCACAGACGTCGTAGAACGTCTGATCGTAGTACCTGGTGTACGCTTTGACCCTCAGGTACTCCTCACATACTATTTGAGATTTCTGCCTGCAGATGTCAAGAATAAGCTGGTGGACAAGGCCTATATTGACCATCATAACTTCGCCTCTTTCAGCAAGAAGGCCTTAGACATAGTGGCTAAGCTTGGGTCCGCGCATCAGTGTCCTTCGAATGGTAGGAAAAAGAAGCTTCCCCAAGACTGGAAGAAGAAGGGTCAACTAATGTTCGTCGACCATGATGGGCAGGCGACTGAAATTGATGATTTGTGACACCCTTGGGATGAGACAGAGCATGATGCGGCCAACAAGACTTCGGATGGAAGAGTCGTGGCACCTTTTAGGATAGAAAAGGCTAGGGGGACCGAGAAGCAGAAGGTAGGCCGGTCCAAGGGTCAGGGCGACCAAGGAACGCCCACTTAAGTAAAACTTTTTAGATTACGAGGTGTGGAGGGACCAAGTTGCTAGGGGCACATGAATGAACTGTGGCAACTATGGCCACACGTCAAGAACTTGCCGAGGCAAGAAGGTCACAACGAGGGTAGCCGCTCCAACGGTAGTGGGCTTATCCTCGAACCCTGGCAGTGCTTCTGCGAGCACTTCGCAGGGAAACACCTCGGACCAGTAGGAGTGTTAGCCGCTCTTACTCGTGCTGAAGTGGTAATGTTGCCTTTCCCACTTCAGGCATTGGCCAAGGCTAGTGACCCATACACGCAGACACATTCAGACCCACCGACGCTCTGTTCGAGAGATGTGTCCGAGTCCCTAGAAGAGTTACAATCTGAGTGGTCAGGGAAGGACCCCAGAGACTCTTGGGCGCTGATCAGTAGAGGTCCTAACGGTGAACATTTTGTGGTAGAGGTCAATGAAGATGGCTGTAA